CTAAGCAAGTGATTCTGAAGAGTCAAAAATTCTTGAGTTAAACACATAAGTTAGAGTTTCATAATTTTGAGTCTGCGACAATAAATCCACTAAGCATCTTATTGCTAAGCGCCGGCTGTCGCAGACCTCTTAGCTTTCGTCAAAAACCAAAAGTATTTCAGAATAATTGTTGTTGTACTAATATTAAGTAACTATCGTGTCTTTTATTTTGAACCGAACTGCGACGATTCTGAAGGGGTGTTGCGCATAGATGTTGTGGTTTTTCAGATACAATTTCGAACCATCACTTATCCTTAAAAAGTACAGGTTTCCATACGACTTTGCGGCCTGCTCCACTCATTTCCACGTCAACGTAGGCGACGCTGGAAGATTTGAAGTATAATTGTGGCGTTATTTGCTACAACTCTGCACGATCTGTCTCGTTTACTATTTCTCGGATTCTCGTCCTTGTTAATGCGTAACTAGAAGTTTGTTTCTCATCGGCCATTCCAGGAGCTTTGATTTCCTTTTAAATCCAGAGCAAAGGCATTCGGAGGAGTCACTGATTGTAATTTGATACCTATCCTCTCTGAAGATCAGCAGAATTTCGAAGCTTCTGAATTTGGCCGGAGTCGCACATATTTCAAAAGTAATCTTGCTACAATTTCTTTCAAATGGAAAATTTGAGTTAAGCAACATGGAAACAATCAAAAAGAAGAACTAATGGGCCTAGAGATAATATATGGACCGAGAATTATGTGTTTGAGTAGTACTTTGAATTGTAAGTAAAACACACATTCCATGTTTTTCGGATGCGCTCCAGGAGAAGAACGTATCTCTCAAATGATAGTACCGTATGAGATACTTGTTTGCTTTACAATAATTCATAGCAAGATGGTACAGCGTCTTAGAATGATGGTGGATTGACAGAAACTGCATTTAAAGGCTCCTCAGCCATGTGCTAGAAAAGTTGAACGGAAGAAAACGAATTTCAGAGCTGGAAGAGAATGAAAAAGTGATTTAGAAGAGTAATATGATTTAAGGAAGAGACGAGCGAGTAGTTTCCTATCTGTGTTGAGATACCGGCAAAGAATCGATCCCAAAGAAGGAACGAGAAAACAGATAGCAAGGTGAAGTAAACAAATAAGGAACAGCAAGCGCAGTTTTCTGGTAAATGCTTAATTAAAGGAAATCCAGTAATACTGATCAATTTCTGCATTTTAACAAATTAGAGACTTTAGACAAAATTTTACAAACATAATTAGCTCCGACTCCGCATGAGACCCAAAGAATGTGATCTAGGAGTCATGAGCACCACAACAGTTCCAAACGATTTTTGCAATACCTGGTTTCTTGTCTTTCTATATGACTTATTTTACTGTAATTCAATTTTTGAAAAATGGCTGAAGTGGAACGAGGCCTAAGTAAAATATGGTGGGTTTTTGGATAAGTCCATGCCATTTTTGAAACTCAAGATATCCTAAAAATTAGAAGTTTTGGTTGCGTTTTTTCTCAAAGGCAGAAGTCTCGCTCTATAAAACAGCGCACTTATCTTATTCAGTGAGTTCACTTAAACCACATTCGATTGAAATGTATTTCCAAATTGATTGAATTTTCTATTTGTACGGCAACCAAAAGCTCAACCGACAATTTGATTTTTCTGGAATGTGGGGAATTCGGAATTCAAAAAAACGTGTGTTGGGGTCCCTGGCTATGCTGATTACGAAAATTACAGCTATTCCCGCGATAAGGGCTCATTGTGGGATTACGGTAGGTATACGATATAGGATCAATTACATTTATGGCCATGAAAAATGGTGAACTGCGTTTAATTGGCATGCTGATTACAATTCGCATCCGTACCCCATAATAGAGCTTTGCACAATAGAGATGAAATTATTTAAATTTCCTTTTTCAGCAGATTATTAATTGGCCTTTCTTTATTAATTTGACAGCGAGAGTATTGTGCAATATGGGTACCATTTTATGACCAGCATGTCAGTTAAAGCCACTAGACCACTTTTCGGACAACCTGTGATTTTGATCAGTGTAGCATATACCAAGCCTTATCGAAGTTGGTGAAAGTCTCACAATCAGCATCTCTGGATATCCCACAAGGCGACATTACAGAAATTCCAAAGTTTAGCACTTTAAGCCATTTTATTGTTGTTGGACTTTTCTTGGTCCTTTGTCTTTTTAGTTTGATCACTTTTGATTTGACACAGTCGTTATCACTGGATAAGTAGGAATTTGAAAGAAAAGGCACGAGCTTATCCGAC